TTGTTTACTTGCATGTTGTGTCACGGGTTCGTGTATCGACTGTGCCGCGCGGTTGGGTCATTCCCGAACAACCTTTCAAGGAGGTGACATGGTTTGTTCGATGACAGGAAGCAAGAAATGTGAGGCTCCATCATTAACAGCTGAATCTTCATTACCGGGACTGTCATATGGAGGCTAAATCAATAATATCTTGGTGGTGTTTTGGTCATGTTACAGCATCCCGAAACGGACATCTCCCAGCGCTGAATGGGATGATCTACCCTGCAATATACTACTACACGCCACCAAGACCAGAAGAACCAGACTATTGGGTTTTCCATGAGTGGCTTCGATCATGGCGACTAATTGCTCAAGCTCCAGGGTAATTACACGGTGAATGTTGAACGTAATAGGGGCAATACTTTGTCCACTACTTGAATTATTGAGTATACTAATAGGGTCGTTATTTGTAAAAAAGGATCCAGTCTTGTCGTAATTTTATCCACAGACAGTTCCAAAATCATAACAATATCCAAGCCCGAGGAGAGCATTCCACAAACCTTCTGAAGTTAGTTCTAGATATTTTTAGGTCGTGAATAGCAACCAACTTGTCGATGAGACCCTGTGATCCAACTGTCAAGATGTGTACCAAGAAGTACTTGCTTATTCTCTATAATATGCCGGATGAGACTGTAGCATCACAGGTACCGTCTGCCAATTCGTTCTGGAGCACATATGTGCATGTGGTTCGCTGCGCCAAGAGTAGTATTGCCACTGAACGGGACCAGGGCAGCAAGACATGGATTTCAATCATTTACGATGCAAATCGTGAAACTCCCATGCACGCGGGTCAAAGAGAAAACGAGACACCAGTGTAAGCATGTTGGTATTCTTCTCCCTCAAGATGGTCAACGTAGTATAAGAAGAACATGCAAAAGATCTCTAGAGTATTCCCTTCATTATGCTACATTTTTGAATATTCTGTTGTATTTTCCTCTGATGTTCTCGTATCTCGTTCATGTCTCGTTTATTTCTTACTCGGCGTGTCATTCTGGAATAGCCGATTACGCCAAGGACATGAACTTGCGTTTTCTCGCATGGGTGGTCATCACACACTCATCTCGGACGTGGCCGTATTTTTACCCCAGAGATCAACATTCTTTACATCTTAAACTCGGATGACCGAGTAGCTCGATCACCGATGTATTGACCGACAACTTCACCCACTGTAAATCTGATATGATGTTGTTGCTGTCAAAGTCGGGCAACCCGGGGTTCGGGTCATAGGAACTCGAGCCCTGCTGCGATTGGCCCGCATATAAGACACACCAGCATCAAAGGTTCCCTCGCGACCAAGTTCCCACAAAGACAGCATTTATCCGGAGTCTAGGTCCGTCTTGCCGGCTCCACCGTGCCGGGACCCCTTGCCCGTTCTACGTCCGGCACACGGCAAGCTGTGGCTGACGGACGGCAACGGAACTGGTCAGATCATTAGGCGTGTGGTTCGGCTCTCGAACGCCTCCTGCCCTTGGCTGCTTGGCATTAGCGATGGAGGCTGATTCGATTCAAACCACGTTCGTTAGACGACATCCACTGACTCGACTGGGCTCTGACAGGCTGGGTAATACCGTTTTCCCACTTTAACCGGCGACGGTGAGACTGGCGACAGGCTGACGGCCGGCACGTGGATGGATTAGCTGTCCCAGCCGCTCGGGGCCGACGATGAATCGCCTCAGGGACAAGGTGCAGAGCCCTGCACTGGATCGAGACAAACCACAGAGAGCCGTCGGTCGAAGCCGGGGGTGAGTGGAGATTTCGCATCTCGACCTTGGAGACGGGCCGTTTTTTTTCTTTGCTCATGTGCCAGACGCAGTTTCACGACGCGGCTAAAAGAGAATAGACGCTGGAAACCCGTTACCCTTGCGTGATGGTCTGTCCGCTGGTAGCATGACGGTGCGGAGATGCCCACGGGGGGACCCCTGGGGAAGTAAAGTTCTGTGGGTCAACGGAGATCAGGAGGAGAACGAGTAGCGTAGCAATAGCATGTCGCCAAAAAAGAACACGGACCTGGGCGCGAGGTTTTCGAGAATGGAGCCATGGTGAGTCTTGATACAAATAGACTCGAGGCACCGCGTTCTGAGTCGACTTTTTCCATCTCACATCGATTCATCGACTACAAAGATTCCTGGCATTCTTGCCTCTTATTCAACAAACACAAACTACAAACAACTATACACAACTCGATTGAGTTGGACCCTCAATATGGGAAAAGTCTACAACATTGGCCTGGCTTGCTTTGCAGCCATTGGGTATGCAAACTCACCTCTCAACAGACCAAACTACACATCCTAATAATTTCTTCAGCTCCTTCCTTTTCGGATATGATTCCGGTGTAATGACGGATGTCATTGCGTCCAAAAACTTCCTCAACTTTTTCGACACGACAGACACATCGCCCATCGTCGGTGCCATCAACTCGACCTTTAACGGCGGAGCCGTCTTTGGAGCCCTCTTCGGAGGTGTCATCATGGACAAGTACGGCAGAAGGATGACAATCGGAATCGGCGCTCTGATCTGCACTGTCGGCGCTGTTCTCCAAGCCGCGGCCTACCAGTAAGTAGAGATCTGCGAACCCATCATGATCTGACCTGCTAACTGTTTTTTCCTAGTCTTGCCATGATGTTGATTGGCCGTATCATTGCAGGATTTGCAGTTGGTCTTCTTTCCATGAGTGGTAAGTTTCCCCGTTTTCCCCATCTCCACAATCTAGCTTACACGGTTCCCCAGTCCCCGTCTACCAGTCCGAATGTGCCAGCCCCAAGAACCGTGGTCTCATCGTCGGTCTCGCCCAGCAGATGATTGGCGTTGGTTTCATCGTTTCCACATGGATTGGCTATGGCAGTCACCACATGGGTGATCACTCAGCCTTCCAGTGGCGGTTCCCCCTGGCTTTCCAGGCTCTCCCCTCAGCCCTCCTGTGCGTCGGCATGGTCTGGCTCCCAGAGACCCCCCGACATCTCATTGCCTCTGACCGCCTTGAGGAGGGAATGAAGATTCTCCGCAAGCTTCATTATGATGGCCACAACGACGACTGGGTCAAGGCTGAGTTCCAGGAGATCAAGATGACCATTGACGCCGAGAAGGCCGCCACCGCCCCCGGATGGCTTGTCATGTTCAAGGTTCCTCAATGGAGGAAGCGTCTGGCTCTTGGTACCCTGGTCCAAGTGTTTACTCAGTTTACTGGTACGTATATGTGGTGAAAATCGCCAAAACACCACACCCAAATCTGGCGATACCTTCACAACCACAATTCTGACCCGTAGAACAGGAATCAATGTGATTGGCTACTATCAGACTATTATGTATGAAAGCCTGGGCTTTACTGGAAGCAAGAAACTGCTCGTTGCCGGCATCTACAACTGTTGCGGTCCTATCGCCAGTAGGTTTTTCCCATATCAAGCTCCCCACGGGGTTCCCCACAACTCCAGCAGCTTACTAACCACTTCTAGACTTGTTCTTCATCACCTTTATCGCTGATAGAATCGGCCGAAAGCGTCCCCTGATCTACGGTATCCTGGCCATCACCGTCGCCCTGATCTGCGAGAGTGCCATCAACAGCCAGAACACCGACGGCGAGAAGACAGGTCTCAGCATTGCTGGTGTTGCCTTCCTCTTCTGTGTCACCATCATCTTCTCCCTCTCTTTCGGCCCTGTCAGCTGGACTTATATGGCTGAGATTATGCCCTACCAGATCCGTGGAAAGGGATGTGCCTTTGCCACTGGCATCGGTAACTGGCTGGTTGCTACCTTCTGGGCCCAGGTCAGCCCCTATGGTCTTAAGGAGCTTGGCTGGAAGTTCTACTTCCTCTTCGTTGGTATGTCACACGTTCGCCTTTACCAGATGAAGCCACCAACTAACATGAAACAGCCTGGAACCTTGTCATCACCCTCCCCGTCCTCGTCTTCTTCTTCCGCGAAACCAAGGGGCTTTCTCTCGAGGAGATCGATCTCATGTTTGGCGACCGTGCCCTGGGTAACCTCCCCAACGATATCGAGAAGAGCGCCGTCATGGGAACCACCAGCCTCGCCCACGAGGAGGAGCCCCACAAGACCGAGGCCTAAGAAACTCGAGTATATGTACAACGAACTATGGGATGTAATGAGAAGCCACGGCCGACAGAAAACTAAGATATAGACCTGTTGGACAGATCTAGAGTTAAGATGTAATAGGTAGCATGAGCGAATGATACTACGAATTTGCATAGTTGCAGATATATCTACTTGTGTCTTGACTCGTCACTGATGTGAAATTGAACTTGGCAAATGCAGTGTTTACCTGTGAGTACGCTGAATCCATCTGGCCTTTGTCGTGAGATAAGATGTCTAAAATAACACCTTGAACACTCGACAGACGTTCATTTAGAGTCCCGAATAAGAACACGGGGAATTAGATGGCAATAATCAAGTCTTAGTATAAGGATTGAATAAACTTTGATGTATTTCTCCTAAATTAGGATTGCTCTTTGATAATCTCAAGATGAAATGTGGATGATGATTTGATGAGGATGACTGCCGTGGACGGGTTCCCCAAATCAGCGAACCGACCTGTTGCTTGGAAACGAGACTCCAGGTGATTTACCTTGCCCTTCCCTAGAGGGGCGATTGATAGGTGTTGAAGAGAGTGCCTGATGGGTATGAATGACTAGTTTACTCTGGTTATCTGAGTCTGGATGGATGACCTACCTATATATAAGCTGCATGCACGTTTGGGATGGAAAGAATAGGTCTTATCCATGCAAATACCTGCCTCTCGCAAGAGCAGAGACTACGCGAGAATCGCTGGAGCAGCGTGAACCAGGCCATCCATCGCGCCTGTGTCGCCCCCAAGAAGCAGCCACACTACCTTGCGGCCGATGGCGTCATGAAGGCTGCCCTATGCGATGCGAAGCAAGAGGTCGAAAGAAAATAGTAATGATCAGGGATCAGATGGTGATGTACTTCAGTAACCGTATAGCTTCGTGATGGAACGTCACCCCGAACACTCTCCCCTCTTCATCCAAGAGGGCGCCCAAGATGATACGGACGGTGACGGGTGGGTCGATGTTGATGACATCTATCTGATAGACGAGGAGTCTTCTTTCTGGGAGAAGGCCGATTCCTTGGGAAACGGTGAGGAGATGATGGATATGGCGGCTGTCGACGCAGTGCAGCATCAAACCCTTTCCGATGGAGCCAAGGTATGTTTGAAATCTGACGTCAAAACACGGCCCCCATTCTAACAATTTACTAGAAGCAAGAGAAGAAGCATTTCAAATTCTTGGCATTTGAACTTCATTTCGCCCTTGCCGTCCTGCACTTGAAGTGCCGCCTCGTCTCTACCCCTGCTTTGGGAGCCAAGGAATTAATCGAAGCCAATCCATCTATGATGACGTGAGTATGATCTACTGGCTTGGAAATATAACAAACGTTCTGTAGTAATCCTTAGAATTCAGTTCCCCTCCCACGGGCCTGCCCTTCACCATCGCTGACATGACCATCTGGTACATAATCACGCGAAACTCGAAGAAATGGAGGAGGAAGAAACCTACTCTGACCAGTAGCGTTCGTAGCATTGCAGGTCATGCCACAGCGGGCTTCACAAAGCGTCCTCGGTAAGATTCTCTTTGGGTTAGTTGTTTGCATTTCTCACAAGTCTCACGTAACTTTTCTGGCATTCGAGTCCAATCGAGATATCAGGCCAAGTGGTCTCCACGATGTTATCGATATATCCGCCCACATACCAAGGCGCACATGGACGAAATTCGAGAGTAGGGCGACTCGACTCGCTATTGTTCGCTTTCTATCAGCAATGGGCTTGCCCTGGGTCACGCCTGGCAGACGTTTCCTGGGCCTCGCTACTTGTGGCATCCCGAAGCCCTCCAAGAACATGAAATGTTCATTGCCCAAATGGATGTAATTCGGAATGCCCTGGATGGTACGTGCCCTATCCTCATTGCGCATTTGATGCGACTCTCTCAAGATTCCTTTCAGGGGTCTGAGTGTTACTGGCCTAACAAATCCCGTGGCGACCTGGATCGGAGTATCGCAAGGTTGCACACCACGCGGGCAATCATCGATAAATTCGATTTAATCTTGACGGAAATGTGTCCTGGAGCCTTGACTGGAGTTTCGGTGTCTTGGATATAACATGTTTCAGTGCCAACTCCCATGGTTTATTCGTGCTCGGTCCCTGGCCAGCTCAAGTTCCACCCCCAGCCCCAAAGCCGTTACATCTGGTCGAAAAATTGAGTCTGACCCTCCGTGAAAGTGCCGTCCTCTTCCATCGTGACGACAGCTGCTACCTGGGGCCTCCCCGGGCCTCGACGAGGGAGTTCTTCCAGAATGGCAGCATTCATACGCTGAAGATCCGCGATGAAGTTGGACAGCCAAAGTCAGTCTGGCGACCGTGTTTTCAGACCCTCGACTGACGTTCTCGCGGTCGGTGAAGAGTCATCTGAACTGTGATCGGGCGTGTCGCATTGCCATAGGGATCGAGGAGGGCCTGCCGTTGCAACACATGTACCGTGGTGCTCTCCAAGCTTGCGGGATTCCTAGGCCAGCACATCATTCTTGATGTCTCCACGTTAGTACAAGCCATTTCTATCGACTGCCGGATACATACTTCTGTGCCATCGTAGCCTCTATCAATTGAGTCAGCGCATCGTCTGGAGCCACCTGAACAGTTGTGTTAGCAAGTCTCCAAGCTTTAGCCTGAGGCAGGTTGAGTAGAAACTCACCATAGTGACGACAGCCAATATAAATGCCCTCAATAGCATTTTCACTGCAAGTCCTAATGCGAGCGCACTCCAGGCAAATCTCCCAGCGCAAATTCCCGATGCGCTATGATCTGTTCAGTTCGTGATCTGTCAGTGCGGAGGACAGGCAACTCAGGTTGCGATGGGTCATGATATGGCTCCGAGAGGCAAGGGAAGAGGGGCTCGGAGGAGGGAGCGTCAAAATTTCGTGCATGGAGTGCGCGCATAGGGAATGAGGAGGAAGAGTTTTACTTACTCGGGCTTCTTTGGGTTATCGCAAGCGGAGTGTTGAAAGAGGGAAAGTTGCGCGAAGGAGGAGGAGGTATGTTTTGGATCAGGAACAGCGAGATTATGAAGAAAGAGCGAGGCTGAGCAGTGGCTGCCGTTTTTCGAGTTCAACATCGGGCATCCGTTTCCGCGCACGTCGGTTTGACAGTTTGACAGACCAGTGATGCCATTCTTAGTAAATTCTTATGAAGATTTTATGATATGTAGTATATTATAGTAATCTTAGTTTATGAGGAAAAGATCTAAGGCGAGGAATAACTCTTAGACAGTCTTTGATTACTATTAACTCATTTTTATCCTAAAATCTACCCAAGTATAGATCGTGCCATCGAGGACAAGCGCTGGGAGATTCGCCTGGAGTGTGCCCGTTGACGACCCAACCCCATAAAGACTTGCGTTTGGTGAAGCGGCTTCTGATGAGCGTTGAGCCAGGCGGAGATGACGGAGAGGACTAGAATGGGTTGGGTCTTTCACCTAAACTCATCTTCCTTGCGATGGTTAGCCATGTGACGTTGGAAATGTGACTCGCCGGCACAAATTTTACTGCAATCTGGGCACTTGTACTTCTCGGCCACAGTCTTCCAGTATTCAGCATCAACAGCGTCCTGCCGCGGGAGTTGCTGTGGGGTTTCTGGTGACCTGGTTCCACTGAGAATCGCATCTGCCGAGGACTTGGTCTCGTCAAGACATAGGCCCCGCCGGTTGTGTTGGACCAAGAGAGCGATGGAGCCAAAGTTGGAATGACAAGCTGGGCACTTGAGCAGATCAGTGGATTCTGACACTGTATCTCCGCTCTGGAGCCAGGACTCAATCGGGAGGGGTTCCATTTCGAACTCTGGAACTGGGGGTATGGGTATGATAGATTCGTCTTGGACCCCAGCCCAAGGTCCGCTACCAAGCCCACGGTCGACCTTCCAGTAAGCATGCTGCTGGGGGATGAGAGTGAGGAGCCGGCGTATGCCATCCCAGGCTCCAGAGTCGTAGTTCATCATGCCAAAGTTCGTGGTGACAGTGTCGAAAGTGATGGTGGACTGAGATAGGTCGATGTAATTGACGGGGTCCAGATGCTTGTTAGCAACAAGACCAAATCGCATGGCGATTCTATGATCAGGCCCTTTGCAAAGTGATGCCTTGAACGCATTGCCAATCTAAGGCACAAGCGGCAGGCCCCAACGGTCTAGAATGTGAAACGCAACTTCAGTCCTGGTTGCCTGAGGTCGATCGGCTCTCACTTGTTGTATTTTGCTGCTGAAGTGATGCGCTATCCAATATATGAAGACGAGTTCAGTGACTTGAGGTTCCCCATATCCGGCCCCCTCTGCATGTCGGTTGCAGAATTTCCGCATTATCCGCAGCTTTTTCCGGGCAAGGGTACTCAGAATGTGCCAGTCCCAGCCAATTGCCAAGGCTTGAGGTCGAGAAAGGACATGGAAGGGGCAAAAGACGCGATGGCCAGAGCCTTTCGAGGAGGGAATCGTGCAGTAGTATTGAAAGTCATTGGGCGACAGGCCGTACTTGGCACCGATGCTGACGAGCGTGTCATAGAAAACTTCCCATAGCCGTCGAGACTCCCCAGAGAGCGGCTTGAACTTTGTTGGTGAGAACTCCGAGAAGGGACGAAACGCCAGCACACCCGTATTACCAGAGAGTTCGTTTTCCACCAGTGGGGTCTTGATACCGGTTCGGATAGAAACGAGAGCTTGTCTTCGTTGTTCGGTAGACCAGGTTACCCACATCTCCATCCGGCGCCGGTGGGTGCCAGTAAGTCCCAGCGTGATGTGTAGCAAAGAGGCGTTGGTGACGGCGTTCATGGTCCAAGCCCATAAGGACTGGCGTATGGTGAAGTTGGGCTCCTGGTGAGCATTGAGCCAGGCAGAGATAACGGGGAGGACCAGAATAGGTTGAGTCTTTTTCACGACGTCAAGAACCGTCATGACAACTCCGACATTGGGTAAAGCGTGATATCGATGCTTGCTGTCAACATCGACGAAAGGATATACAGCCTCGAAAGAAGGGGACCGGGGTCCGGAGAACTAAGAGACGTTCTCACCGGTATAGTCGTAAAGTCCTGTCACAGACATGGTAGACGAACGGGACAGAGTGACCTCCACATACTGTGCGATCCGATCAACGCTCCCAGTCAGTTCCTCTGCAGTAACTCCAGGGTATGTTTATTGGTAAGCTTCAGAACGTGCTTGACTGCTCGTAGGACCTTTAAATGAACGGATGTAGTAGGGGCGGAACGGACGTCAGGAGAATGAGCCTTGATAGGTTCGGTTCGAAATGGTAACGGCTTAAAGTTGTCCCCCATGCTGAGAACAACTCTTCGGATATCTGAAGACGGTCGTGTTGGGCAATCGAGTGATTGAGCGCCCGGCAGATAGTCTCATCTTCACCAGCTGCCCTGGCAGCGTTGATAGCTGCGAGGAGGCGATTCCATTTCGCTTGGCTTGCCTCGGCATTGATGAGACCGTGGAAACATGGGCACTATGAGAACTTGGTGCCGACAGAGGGCCTTGGGAGTGTTCGGTTGGCCAGAACGATATCTGGATACAAGGCGAGTGTTGATACCGACCTGTCTGTCAACTGTGGTGGGAGATGAGCCAGATGGGGGTCACTCGAGAGCGAGTTACTTCTGCGATGTTAGTTGTGATTCAACGTCTCGCGATGATTATTAGGATAAAGAAGAAGAGAATTGGTAAAAGAATAGACTAGAAAGTCTCGCATTCTTCTCTTTTTATGATGTGTATTAGACAAGTTTCTCATATGGAGTCTTCGGAAACGAGATCTGGACTCCTGCGATGGTCGAAGAGAAGGTTCGTGAGAAAGAGATTGGGGCCCGTTTCGAGATTCTCTGTAGAAAAGCAGACGTGGCCCGCGGAATGACTGGTTAAAGGAGCATCGCGCTCTCTCTAGCCGGGCGTCTTCGTTGTTCTCCTCAGGGATTTCTTCGTCGCTTTCAGATTCTCGCTCGAAGTGCCACGGTGGCAAATCAAGCCACAACGAACGGAATGCTGCAGGTCGAGGGCGGGTGTTGATATATCTCAAGTGTCCCTCAATAAGGCGCTGTTGTAGGAGTCTGGATCGTACTCTAGGCTCGTAATGCTCTTCCTCGGTCAAGTCAGAGAGTTGAAGAGGAACCCGTACCGCCAAGCATGACCCAGGATACTCGGCTTCCTCCTCAGTCGAGACACTGAGGTCGTCTTCGCCTGAATCGCAGGCCTCTATATATTTGTGACGAGAATTAATATCAGGTTCAACATAATCGACGTTCGGGTCCGGTGGGGGACGGGGAGTGCCGACTCCTGGAGGGTAGTAGCGACGAAGAGGCGAGACCTGAAGGACATGATTGTGACGCAAGCCTCTCCTGGGGGTGTTGTCGGCCGCGAAAATCTGGTTTACCATGCGAAAACCCGTCGATGGAGCCCACAATAGTCCACGACTAGTGTCATAGACTCTCCAATCGATGCTGTGTTCGCGAAGTTGTTCTATAAGGGGAGGCCGATTGCTCTGAAGGTGTCACTCGCCTTTTCTCCGAGTGCGTCACACTTTTCAAAGATTTGCTTCCTGTCGTAGGGACACGACTCGAAATCCCCAGACGGGAGAAAGTCTGCCCCCACGAGCAAGACCCGAATAAGGCCATCGATGGTGCCAGTGAAGTTGTTGCCATCGACGGATACAGGGCGGATTCCAAAGGAGAGAACACCCTCTCCCGTAGGGTGTAAATATATCCCTAGGTCGCGAGAAACCTCGGAGTTGGTTCTGAGGCGAGGTACTCCTCGAGGTCACCCAGACATCGGCACGTTGGGAAGGCCTTGGATGCAGTTCAGGATATTATCCATGACAGCTTCATCCATGCACCTGCTACCTCCGGCTTCGGTCCCATTGTCGGTTTATATATATTTCTCGAGCCCTTTCTCTTCGTCGGACTCGAATTTGATCTTTTCTGCATCGGGATGCTGGATGGCGATCTCTTCTCGGAAGCGCTTTAAGGTGCCATCCTCTGCCAATCGGACAATGTCCCCGCCCTTCCTGTCCCAAGTCGCTTCGCCTGTTTGTACTTGAGATTCGATATGGTCATGAGGAATTTGGGGACGCAAATCAACATTGAGATCGGGCCCCAATCGTACTTGTTGGGGCGTTTCGTCGACTGAGGTCGTGGCAAGACAAGTTAAGCGGCGGGGTTCTTTGAGCTTGGCCTGAGTGTCTCGAATATAGTATATAAACATCTAGGTAGAGCAGGACGTGTTCTAGTATAATCAGGGGGAGGTGCAAATGGTGATGAAGAGGGTGAGGTTGTTGAGAAGAGAAAGGGGAGGGAAGGGGAGAATTTATAGATGCGAAGTGGCAGTGAATCACTACCTGAAAAACTCGCGCGTTAATTGTAAAAATGAAAACTTGAAAACAGTAAGGCCTGTTTGGTGCAAACGCATTCTCCCATGACTGATGTTCAATTATCTCGATAGCCGTAGCTGTGGTATGATGCCCAATGCCAAACAAAACAACAGACAAGCAGCAATCCATCTCTACTCCCCATTATCAAACTGTTACAACAACAAAGCTTTAGAGTGACAGATAACACAGTAAGTTGGCAGTTTGAATCACATACATTATGCGTTTCTTATTTGAAGCATAACAACAGGGCATATTCCTCCACCCACCAAGAGAATATACAGACACCAAACCCGCACAGAGGGTGTGATTGAGAATTAAACCATAAAAAACATGGCACTGGTATCCAATTTTTCAATATGATGGCTAAGATTCCAAGGAGAGACCATGCAGAGACGGGGTCAGTTCACCACTTACACGAGCATTCACAATGGCCTGCACAAAGTGCATAACCAAAATTGTGTAAGTGGGATGTGGGCTTATCTGCTATCGCATCGGCGTCGGCCGAATAAACATCCGATGACTGACCAATCATGGCGGACCGCGCTCGGAAATGTGGTCATGGGCTACGGGAAGGCGGGCAGCCTCGCTTCTCGCTCCAGCTTCTCCTCGCCGTCACAGCACGTTTCTAGCAAAATTGCATTTGTTCAACTTTTCGACGCGAACTCGATTCGTCTTTTAGTATTGAAGGTCCCCTCGGCATCAGGGACCATCAGTACCATTCTACACCCTCTCACCTCGTCATAACCCGCCAGAAACCTCCTCGGCCCTCGTCGTTCCCTCCGCCCACAACAAGTTTCCCCCTCGGTCCCATCGTCAATCCTGCCTTCGCCCGCCATGGCGTCGCAGCAGGTCCTCTTCGCCGAGACCATAGCTGGCATGAAAAAGGCCTTTAAGCGGACAGCTTATGGTGCGCAAACTCCCATGCGCCTGTCGCGTCTACGAGTCTCGCAACTGACCACGCCCGCCTGACAGAGTCCGACTCCGATTCCGAGATCGAGAGCTACAGCAATCGCGGCCACAAGCTTCAGAAGCGAGCGCGATTTGCCCATCAAGGGCAATTGGTCCCTACCAACGGCCCAAGCTCATATCGAGAGGTCCGTTACCGTCGCGATTCGTTCCCGATAAAGTCTGACTGACCCGAACAGTATGTCGAATATGCTGGCGTTCGACGACCGATTATTCATCGCAACCCACCCTTGATCGATGAGGATGGATACGAAGTGGAAAGCGACGAGGAGGATGAGGACCGCATTCAAGAAGCCGAGGCTGCTGCGGCAGAAGTGAACCCCTACGCCAATATCCAAATAGAGAGTATGTCAGCAGTCGGACCAGTCAACAACAAAGCTAACAGGACCAGACATTCTCGCTCCACTCACTGCATCGACCGATTTGCCGACACATCCAACCCTCTCGAAACCCTTCACATCCAAGACCCTAACCAAGCTTGTCGACCAAAGTTGCGACATCATGCGCAAGGAAAACCGTTCCCTGTGGCAAGTGAGACACCTCCTAACCGCGTTGTGCGGCGACTATACCTGGGTACCATGCTCCATGATGGTACGACCTTCGGATATCGAGCTCTACACAGACGACCACGTTGCGCGTCACCTATTAAGCCTCTCCAAAGCACAACCACAACTTACCAACGGTGGCACCCAAGAAAATGGCATCCCGCCCGCAGATCCTGTACCGGACGTGACTGGCGACGGACAGGTTTCCGACAAGGACGCAGCAGAAGATGCGGATATCACTATGACGGACGCTGAAACCGTTGGTGCTGATGACTCGCACCTAGACAATGCCAAGGACGACAAGGGCGAGACAACAGAAACCGTCGAAAAAGATGGAGCAGTGCCAAGTTCCGAGGCGCAGAACGAGGGTCAGGAGCCAGTCGACAAGGCCAATGCATCGGGACCCTCGAAGGGCGGGCCAGAAAACGGCGTGGACCAGCATGTTAATAAGGGCAAGGAAGTCGGTCCAGGTCCAGCGCCGACGGCTGCGGCAGACGACACTCGTCGCCAAAACGAACTAGCCGAGGCTATCGCACAAGATATCTCGATGGCCTCAGGAGGACAGGACCCAACGTTTGTGCATCCCATGTTCATTGCTCCATCAGGGGCAAAACCAGACCGCGACATACTGTTGCCTGAACAAGAAGCCGAAGATATCCGAAGACTGCTTGCTCTATATGTGCAGAAGCAGGAGGAGGTTTGTCGGGGGGCAAGAAGACTGTTCTTGGGTCTCCTCAAGGCCGACCAACTGCGCAAGAGTGTCCTTCACTGGTCCAAGGCTGAGGCTCATTCAGGGGCCAACCGGGACATGTCGGACGGTGAGGACTGGTATGACAAGGAAGAATGGGGCCTGACAGAAGATCTGAAGAAGGGCCAGGATGAAGAGGAAGAAGATACCCAGACAACGGGCAAGAAGACGAGGAACAGGAAGTGAAAGCTACCGGCCTTGTTCTTTGGTGATGCCTGTGGTACATATGACGGAGCACAGCTGTCGGCTCAGATGGGATGGATGATAATGACGGATTCCATTGTTGAGACTTTTTTTTTATTTGGGCGTTTCCAGGACGGCGTTTGGAACAGACGGCACGGCATGGCTTGAAGCCGCCAGATAGCGTATGGGCATGGCTCGGCAAATGTCGATAGAGATGTAAATACATCAGCTTTTCGTTGTGAAGGAGAAATAGATGGGAGTTGAGATGCATACACTCGTTGCCCGCGTGAGCAGCCAGGCTGAAGAGTAGGTGAGAATCTGCGGGGAATGGATGTTTGGTGGAGGAGTGGATCTCGAGCTCCGGGTGCGGTGACCCCATCAAAGGCCCCATTAAGCCGACCTCAGCCCCCCATAACGGGACCATAACGGGCCCGGTACAGTGGGGATGAAGCCTGAGGGTCCAGGCCTCTCCCAGCGCCTGCCTTTTAATTATGACGCGGGTCTCCCGCTTTCTACTTTCTTCCATGTGACAGCGCACCTTCTTTGTCCTTTACTCTTTCACTCACCGTCCATTCTGTAGGAACAACATCATCTCCTACTCTCCTTAAGGACCGATTCAAGAGCCCGTGACTCTCTGTTTTGTGTGTGAACCTGCTGCTTCATCATGGCTTCCTTTGTGAACGAGCTCGTCGAATACGTCGACCTTAGCAAGCAGAGCTTGTTGGGTAAGTCTTGCCAGCTGGCCTTGAGAGAGAAATCTGTCCCTCCCTCAATTGTCAATCAATCAATTGGATCGTGTCTGACTCTGGGTTTTTCCGTTGCTGCTCTTCAGTGTCTGCGTCCTCCATTGCCTTCAATCCCCTCTTTTGGAAGTGAGTTTCTCGTCGTCTCTGCGTGATGCCATGAATACTAACCGTCGTGTCAAGCATCGTCGCCCGCCAAGGTGAGACAAAGACAAGCTCGCAGCTTAGCCCATGTCGTCGACTGACCCTCGTACCGTTAAGAATACCACAACAAGCTCCTAACAAAGCTCTTTGGTGGAAACTCCAAGGTCGGATGCTATGCCCTTGCCGCCACCATCTTCTCCCTCGGCATGGTCCGCGACTACATCTACAAGAGCGCCATCGCTGAGCAGCCCTCGCATCCTCTCCTCGATAGTGTCTACGTCCAAGCTGCCGCCCTCACCCTCTTTGCCGTCGGCAACGTCCTGGTCGTCACCTCCACCTGGCGCCTCGGCATCACTGGCACCTTCTTGGGTGACTACTTTGGCATCCTCATGGACGAGATGGTGACGGGTTTCCCTTTCAACGTGACCAGCTCTCCCATGTACACGGGCTCCACCATGAGCTTCCTTGCTACCGCCCTGTACTTTGGCAAGCCTGCCGGTATCCTACTCACTGTCTGGGTGTACATCGTCTACAAGATCGCCCTGCTGTACGAGGACCCCTTCACTTCCGGTATCTACGCCAAGCGTGAGCGTGAGCGTGCTGCCGGCAAGAAGTCGAACTAAACAGCTCGCCTTGAATCTATCCGACCACGAATGTTATATATGGCGGAACGAGACTATACACGTTCCGCCGACGCACAAGACCTACACGCAAAGAGTCTAGATGCATCAGCCAGCGCGCACTTTCGGCGACGGGTTTGAACATGAAAGCTACGCCTTTCAACAGGCCGGGCGCCTCTCAACAGGCGAAAGGGAGTTTTCGGGGATTTTGAACAATATAAAAAACAGGTTATCGACATCAACCAGTCGACGGGGCATTTTGCATTTTGACTTACATATACCAACACCAACCAATAAAGATTCACATATCAGGAATTCAATTCCTTTCAAGACTCACTAGACCGGACCTTTTTCACTGTCGACCCGTCAGAGACAAGCAGGGACCATTGGAACCTTCAATCGGGGAGCTTTTGGATACGACGGGGGAGGAGGCCTGGCTCAAGCCGTGTTTGCTTCCAATGCATCCTCGGCAGTATGGGCGTAGTTCAGCCAGTGTGTTCCGGCTTGTTTTGCTTCTTACGATGGGGTGCTTAAACGACTAATCTGCTACCTATACAGAAAGGATGATGAGTACCCTCAGGGCACCCAGACAGCCGGTATCATGAGCACAGGACAAGCTGGGGTAAAGCTATGAGGTACGACAGACAAAGATACCCGTTAACACGTCATTGTACATTCATCTAGCAAGCTTTCTAGCTCATCTAGTTATTTCTCGTCAGTTGATTCGAGAATCTACTCTACACTTCACCAACTCCCATCGATACCCATCTCAAAGAGTCATGTTGAATTCTATGCCATCATGTCTCTGCACGCCACAACAACCCGCGCCATCCAACTTTTTCATTCTCAAAATTCATAAAACAACGCCGTCTCAGATTCATGGTAAATTCCTCTACTTCTCTTCAGGCTTGTTGTCGGGGAGCAGGTCGACAGCCGAGGCCTCGACAGGCTTCTCAGTAGAGGCTGAGCCCTCCTTCTCAGCAGCACGGATAGCGAGCTTCTTCTGCTTCTTCTTCTCCTTGGCAGCCTTCTTGGCCGCGGCCTTTTCCGCCTCGAGGGCCTTCTGCTTCTTGATCTCCTCACCACCAAAAGCCTCACGCCACTCATCGAGTTTGGACGCGGGGATCTGAGTAAAGAGGAGCTTGGGCTCACCAATCTTCTGACCCGGCTTGATAAGGTCACCGGTCCAGGTTTCGGGGATCGAAATGAGACCTGGGCTGCCGATCTGCTCGAGGATGGCCTCACCAGTAGAGGGCATGTAAGGGTGGATGATGCTAGCGAGGAGTTGAAGGTGGTTGATTCCAAGACCGATGACGGCGGCGCAGCGGTCCGGCTCCTCAGCCAGGAGCTGGTTGTTGAGCTTGCTGTCCTGCAGAAGCTTGTTTCCGAGAGCAGAGATGTGCATAACGGTAGCGAGGCCAGCACGAAGCTTGATGGCATCAAACTGGGTGATGTAGGTCTGCAGAGCCTCGTTGACCTCCTTCTTGTGCGCCTCCAGACGCTCGTCCGTGTACTTGGTGTAGTCAGGCACAACACCATCCAGCTTGGCCTGACAGAACTTGAGGATTCGCTGGTTCAGGTTACCCAGGTTCTTGAGGAGGTCGTTGTTGTTGGCGTCAATAAACTCTGGCCACTTGAACTCGGAATCGGCTGTCTCGGGCCGTCTCGACAGAAGGTAGTATCGCCAGACATCGGGGTCAACGCCAGTCTCCTTGGCAGTGTTGCCAAACACACCGACACCGCGGGACTTGCTGAACTTGCCACCCTCGTAGTTCAGGTACTCAGTCGTCGACATCTTGTGGACCTTGGTCCAGTTCTCTCCGGTTCCAAGCTGAGAGGCAGGGAAGATGATGGTGTGGAAGCTGGGGTCATGTTAGTCGCTGTCTCCATTGATCCTAAATCCCGTCCTTAGGAGTTACTTACGGCACATTGTCCTTGCCCATGAACTGGTAGAGCTTGACGTTCTCGGGGTTCTTCCACCACTTCTCCCAGTTGGTACCGTCCAGGTTGCCAGGGTCTGTCAAGTTCTTGGTAATCGAGACGTAGCCAATGCAGGCATCGAACCAGACATAAAAGACCTTCTCGGCGTACTCCTCGTCGCTGAGTCCATCAAGACCCTTGGGGATAGGAACACCCCACTTGAGATCTCGGGTGATGCCACGGGGGAGCAGACCTTTGTCGATCCATGCCTGGGTGATAGAGATACAGTTTGCGCTCCAGTCGCCCTCCTTGCTGCTCTTGTGGAACCATGGGACGAGCAGATCCTTAATAGCGTCCAGGCGCAGGTAGAGGTGCTTGGTTCTCCGCTTCTCGGGGGCGGTACCGTCGACCTTGCATCGGGGGTTAATCAGCCAACCAGTCGCCTTGGCCTCAACATGGTCGTCGTCGTCGTTGCTGGGCTCACGTTCGGGCTCGAAAGGGTCCAAAAGTCCACCGCAGGCATCACATTGGTCTCCGCGAGCACCAAGATCGTGGCAGATGCTGCACTCTCCCTCGACGAAACGATCAGCAAGGAACTTGCAGTGGGCGGGGTCGGCGCAGAATGGCTGTGTAGTCTCGCGCTCCTCGATGAGGCCGTTCTTCCAGAGATCAGAAAAGATCTGCTGGACAATCTGGGTCTGTTGGTCGGTCGGTGTTCGCCCGAAGATGTCAAAGTCGATTCGGAACCAGTCGTAGACTCCCTTGTGAAGGGCGTGGTACTTGGCGCACAGGTCGGCGGGGGAGAGGCCCTCCTCCAAGGCCTTGGTCTCGGTAGCGGTACCGTACTCGTCGGAGCCGCAGATGTAGATAGTGTTGTGACCGCGGGCTCTGCAGTAGCGAGCAAAAACGTCGGCCGACAGGACACTGCCGATGATGTTGCCCAGGTGGGGGATGTTGTTCACGTAGGGCAAGGCGCTGGTGATGAGGATGTTGCGCTTGCCCTCTTCGGGGAGAATGGGGGCTTTGGAACCCATGATTGAAGTCGCAGCTAAATGATGCACCGACTCGAATAGAGAAAGGAGAGGTTCCGGGTCGAAGGATGAATGGTATCGAGGTGTTGGTGAGTCACAAAGCCGCGATAACGCCTTCTGCTGTCAAAATTCGTAGGTGGGATGGCGGGGGCGGGGGAGGGGCGATTGGAGAAAGCCAGCCCAGGGTGCGATCACGGAGGGTCTAGGGTAGATTCGGCGGGTTCCGAGATGCGAATTGGTGATGAAGTTGGTATGTTTGAGGTAGAATTACGATGGGATTGATTTGAATGAAAGAGTTTTATATGCTGTTTCTTGCTTGACTCATATTCTTGGGGCTTGTGGCGGGTAAGCCAAACCAAGAACGGTGTGTCAAGTTCACCTTGTCATGAATCAAGACGCCCTTGCTTAGACGTTGCGACACACCTAGATAAATCGATAATATGTGCTTGATTGTAGCTCTGATGAAATTGTGTCCATTTTTATATACTATCTACTATACTGAGCTGTTTTGACTGTTGGCATGGAGTGGAATGATACTCATACCATATTGTAGGTAGCTTCACGATATACGATAAGAGACCCATCTACATACGACCCTTGTCAACTCCCAAATGTCAAGACTCAGGAGTGTACATATACATACAGTGTAAATGACGATCTATCCAAGGTCACACCATATTGTGATGGGCATGTTTCTGTTGCAGCTTACTCCGAGTCTGTCCACAAACAGTCCTTCAATAGTTTGACGTCTGTTTCACAGCCTCTCTTACAGACCCTGGCTCCATTCAAGGTCACCTTTCTCGGCTGACCTTGACAGTGACGACACAGCTCCACCGAAATTGGAAGGAAGCCCCGCGTCACGGACCGCGCTCTTGCAACCCCACCATACCTACCTACCTTCCAGGTGTATCGTGCTTGCCTTGGCTAGGACCTCATTGTGCGCCTGACTACTTACCTTACTATTGCTCCCATCTGAGCTTTTTACGATAAGACTCTCTTTCGACATCAAGGCTTCTCACTACAGTGCACTCTTGCGCCTGCGTAGACGTCTCATCGAAACCTAGCGCGCTTTCAAGACTTGCCCTATCTGGCTTCAGCCTCGGTCGCTCTCGATCGGGCATCCAGACAGCTCCCAAGAGCTATCCCAGCAACACAGGATAGCATCATCCTGGGAGTCTGCATCCCACTACTGTACAAGGCCCAAACAAGAGAACACAGACGCAGTTTAGCTTCATAACTTGTCGCCAACATGTTCCAACAGGTATGATATGCTTCTACACCCCGCGCAGTCTTGTCTTTCAGCCCTACACCCCATCAGCTCATGACATCTCTCATGAGTCATTTACTCCCAACCCAAGATGCCCATGCTACTCTGTTTGAGTCTCATAACTAAGACTCATAGAAACCCTATTCGGCGGTAACCGTCACCATCGAGAACCTTACCTCCGAGTCATACGAGGAGGAGGATCTCAGCGGCATTCCCGAGCTCGTCGAGGTCATCAAGCTACAAGCTTCCGGCCCAGGAGAGGCAGCCCGCGCTATCCGCAAGAAGCTCAAGTATGGAAACGTTCATCGCCAAATCCGCGCCCTTGTCATCCTTGACGGCCTCATCCAGAACGCTGGCGAGAGGTTCCAGCGCACCTTTGTCGATGAACCACTTCTCGAGCGACTGCGTGTGTGTGGCACATCCCAGCTGTCTGATATCGCCGTGAGGAACAAGTGCAGAGAGCTTTTCCGAGGATGGACGCAATATGCTGGGACCCCAGGTCTGGATAAGATCGCAAGACTTCACAAGGTAAGTAATACCCTACGACCGAATGGACACGATACTGACTGTACTAGGAACTGCCCAAGAGGAAGCAAGCCGTCACTCAGGAGAGGTCCAAGGTTCTTAGGGAAACCGAGGAGAACCCCTTTGTCGACGACGAGCAGGAGGAAGCTGCCAAGGCAGCTCGACAGGCTGCTAGTTCATCCCATGCGCCGCCCACAGCCGCCGAGTCTTTTAGCCATGCCCACACCAAGTCTTCCTCTGGATCCGGTTCTTTCTTCGGCGGTTCAAAGGACAAGAAGAAGGAAAAGGACAAGGCCAAGGGGAAGCGGAAGCCCTTCAACCTCGAGGCGGAAAAGGAGACGATGAAGGTGGTCATTGCCGACTCATCCTTTGCCGCGACAAATTTGATGAATGCGCTTCAAAGCATCAACCGCGAAGTGGAACGTATCTCGGAGAACCCGGCCGCCGTGGAACGATTCGAAGCTTGCAAGCTTCTCCGGCGAAAAGTGCTTCGTTATGTGCGTTCTCACTATCCTTTGACAGAGTCGAGAAGCTGACAATGTCCAGATCCATCATGTTGAAGAAGAGCAG